TTTTTTTATAACTATTCAAGTAAATACAACAAATTAGGTATCATTGGAAAAATAATTTTGTGCCCTTTCAAATGATATATCACTCGACCCCACTTTCCATTTAAAATTTTAGGGTTGTTACTCACCCTCGCTAGGGGGTTGAAGGCACAGGTAGACCTGTCTGAGCATTTTTGCGTTAAGTTACAAAAAAAGGAGAAAAGCAAGGTGCATACTTTTCGTTGGACCACTCGATATGTTTTATACTTTGTTGAAATCATGGAGCATCTGATAATGCTAAACAATATAGGGTGATCCTTTAAATAAAATGGTGAGATGCTATGGGTGTGCGATGGGGGAAGTAACATCAAATGTGGATATGTGAAAATATGTCCCCCTGTATACTATGTTTGACGTGCTTTTTATTTTTCCTGCAAATAATTGTACCAAAAGTTATTCAGGGTGGCTCTTTTAAATGGAATGTACTGTATAAGCCAATGCCTAAATAATGCACCTAATTAACAGTGAAACTCACCTTTTCTTCATTTTCGAAAATTGAGCATGTTTTCAAATCTTCGGAGTAAGATTCCGGTCTTGGAGTTCCACTATGTGACGCATACTGGCACAACTGATGTTTCTGTCCTTCCACTTCTACATTTATGGCCCTATTTACCAACCACCAGTTGAGCTCCCTTTCCAGTAAACCAATATGTTTCTTCAACCACTCCAAATCATTTGTAGCATCCATGTAAAGCCCGGCCATCAACGTTAACAACGGTGGTTGGGAGCGGTTCAGATAATAAACCCTGCTTCCATTTGGAACAAAACCGTACTTTTCCACGAGAGACAGCAAGTTTTCTATGATTCCCCGTACTGTTTCAGTCATTTCACTGATTATCAGACCTTTCACTATCCAATACGAATCCCAGTAATATATTTCTTTGAATCGGCCTCCTGGTATTATGAATCCATTGGGGAGTGGAATGAGTGAATGCCTATCGGGGTATTTACTCACAAAATCATTTACTTTCCTAGCAAGTTGCGGCCAGATACTAACCAGGGTCCTTGCGAAATCTCTGACAGTTATGTCTTTGATCTTTTTGAGAAATTTTGGGTTAGACTTGTAGTCAGTTGGTATCCACTTGTCTAGTTCCCCTGCAGTGTCAAAATTTTCCTCAACGAATTGTCGTACTTCCTCGACTGTCGGTTCATCGTGGTGTACTTTCATGAAGTTTTTGAAGATACTCAACGTTTCATTTTCACTTTTCTTCTGAATTAAATCAACGAAGGTTTTCGAATCATTGAAAAGGCGTGCCTTCTGTACCGTATCTAATAGCTCACCTTGGCAATAAACGAGACTATCACAAGATTGTATGGTTGTTGTTTTCACTTGTTTATAGCTGACAATCGCTATCAGTAATAGTGAGAACCTCTGCATGACTAACTGAGTGACAACACAGTGTAGTTGGGGAATTTATAACCTGCAAATAACAAAAAACAATGGATGTAAACGTTATCAAGGTATACCGGTTACTTTTATTGCAAAACATCGTGACTGAATAACTTGGCTGAATAAACATATCGATTTATACTTTTTTGTGACGTATGCAAGTACGATTACCAACTTTTGATGGCAGTAATTTACAATGGCCTATTATATTTTTTAAATTATTTGAAAAAAGGATATTGACGAGTTTATTACACAAGTACGTAGCTTTCTAAACGAAACAATCTTGAATGAAATAGTGTGGTATGGCCGAAGTGCATCGAGTTGAATTTCCGAAAGATGGGATATCCTGTTGAGTTGTTTCGAAAGTTTTGTCCTTTTTAGTGTCACCTGTTTCTGTAGCTTCATATCTCAATGAATATTCATTCTAATATGTCGTGGTATACAGGGCTTTTCATGATGAGCGTTAATTTGCCGTTTCTGGCAAACTATTCAACGGATCAACCTGAAAATTCCATAGTATGCATAAGTCAATATGACCTACACGCCTAAAATATTTTAGACGAAGCGGCGTTGTCGCTTCTACTATAAAGTAGC